AATCTTTTTTTTATCTTTATTTAAATCAGCTATAAAGTTTAGACAGTAAATGAGTAGTTGCATTTTGTAAATCAATCAACATTCTCCATGAATAAGATGATGAATTGAATCTAATGTGAATATTTAGATAATTCAACTCTTTTTATAATTTTCTTTGTTTAGGAATAGTGAAGAAGTTAATTAATCTTTTGCATCTTAAAACAATGCCTGAATGTTTATATTAATTTTTAATGCTTCATTTACAATTAATTGTAATATGTGAGCAAAATACAAAATCTATCATTGGTAATGGATTAAAATAAATTACTATTACAGATATTCAAAAGTGTTATTCAAAAGTATTATGAATATTAGAATATATAAAAATTATTTTGATTTCTGATATTTGATAGGAACACTGCCATCAATCATCCCTAACATCAAATTAATGCTAACCACAAATAATGTCAAATGTCAACCAACTGTTCTTTACCATCCAATTGATGTTTGCCATCAATAACAGTAATAGTAAATGACCATCAGATGTCATTCATCATAATATAATATAGCATGAAATAATAAATTTATTATGTTATAATAAAGTGTGACAAATAAATAATAATAATATTATTATTATTATATAAGATTCAATCTTCCAGATTTTTCTTCACTAATAACACTTATAAAATGATATTATTTATAATTTAAAAATCCTAAATCTTGATATTTTTTTAAAATTATTATATCATCATTGTCTAGCAAATTTTTATTATATAATGTTATTGCTAAAGGTTTGGGTCCTCTCCAATTCTTCATTAGAATATCCAAAAGATTGTTACTAATCTTACAAACCTTATAAGTAAAGGCTATTGACTTTAAGTTTTTTGGTAATGTTTCAATTAATACTGTTAATATTTTATCACAATTAATTGTACCATAAATACCATCATAAAACTTGATGCTTTTTAATTTAATGCAATTATTGAATACTTCCATTAATTCCTGGTCCAATTTATTCCTACATGTTATAGATAAATCTTCTAAATTTTTGCAAGATTGTGCAATTGATTGAAATAGCTTTCTCAAAAGTTCACCATCACTATAACTATAAACATCTAGATTTTTAAGATTTTTTCCATTGATACTAATAAAATCAGACAAATATAGTTGATAACTAACATGTAACCTCATAGATTCAATATTTGGCGGTGAATTATTTTCCCGATTTTTTATTTTGCAATCAGCATAAGATGTTAACTGTAAAGTCTTTAAATTTTTAAAAGTTGGTAATAATAAATCATCTAAATCATCTCTATTGCAATAAGATTCATAAACAATTATTGATTGTGAATGTGTTAATATTGCTTCTTTTAATTCATCTGGTAAAATTAGAGCTGAACTTAGTGAAATTTTTAAATATTTAATTTGCTTTTGTGCTTTAATTAGCTGTGCCAATTTATACATATTTTTATAATTACCACAATGTAGTTTTAATGATTGAATATTTTTACAAATATTTGCTAATTTATCAAAAAGTTCACCACCATTATAACTATAGCAACTTATTTCATAAAGATTCTGAAAACAATCATCAAATCTATGATGATTAATTAACTCATTACCATTCATATAAGTAGCATTAAACTTTCTGATACCTGCTGAATGATCTAAAATGAAGCTTCTTAATTTATTTTGTAAAATTTGTACAAGATTTAATGTTTCAGATTTTATTAAGAGTTGATAATTAATATGATCATATAATATAGTAGAAAATCTGGCATAATTGTATAATGGTGGTTTCTTCAATAGCTTAAAATATAATTCAATTCCAATCAAGGAATCCTTATCTTCTTCCAATAAACAATTAATTAATATTTTAACACTGTTAAGAGAATAAAATGGATTTCTCCATAAAGTTGGAATATTGATATTGTGCCATTGTTTGTTGACAAGAGTACAGGAATATAATGTTTCATAATCATCTTCAATGTATTTGAATATTTCAGTTAGAAGTTCAGGTGGAATAATTTTTATTTCAAACATTTTAAATAATAATTTGTTTGTTGTACAACGTAAATGAAAAAAATCCATTTTGTAAATTAAGGGTGGGGGACCATGTGACTGATTTGATAGTAATAGCATGATACAAATACTAATTTTAAACGGAATAATAATAACGGGTTGACTGTTTTTTGAAATAATCGAATTTCAATTTTTTAATAATAATAATGACATAGCAAAAATCAGAAAACGTGAAAATTTTGCATGCATATTCTACAGGACCTAGGCTATACTTATTATGTGTGATTTTGCATTATTGACTCTCTGAAATTTGCTGTAGTGTACCATTTGTTCTAATAAAATCTATTTGAATCTACTAAAACAAATAAACAAATGGATAAATTTATTATTTATCAAAAAAAGAAATAAAGAAATGTTAAAGTATATAAATATGGACTGAGATTGATGTATCAAAAAAATTTTTGCAACATTAAGAATCATTAAACTTTATACATTTAAAATAAATATTTTGAATAAATTCTTTAAAAACAATGCTGTTTAAATTGATTACTGCTTGTGTGATCAATTCAATCATTAACACCAAAGAAACAAAATTAATTATTTTGTAATAAAAGCTATTTGTTTGTTTATTTATTGTTGTTTTTTGATTTTAGTATTAATGCACAGTTTCTATTCATAATACAAGCTTTGCTTTATATGCTTTATATGCTTTTATTTGAATTATTATTCATTTTATTTGTTTATTTGCTTTTATTTGCTGTTATTTGTTTTATTTGCTGTTATTTGTTTTATTTACTTTTATTTGTTTTATTTGCTTTTATCTGTTTTATTTGCTCTAATTCATTTTATTTGCTTTTATTTGTTTTATTTGTTTTATTTGCTTTTATTCATTTTATTTTCTTTTATTCATTTTATTCATTCTATTTGCTTTATTCGTTTTGTTCATTTATTTGTTTTATTTGTTTTATTTGTTTTATTTGCTTTGTTCATTTTGTTCATTTTGTTTATTTTGTTCATTTTGTTCGTTTTGTTCGTTTTGTTTGTTGTTTTGTTTGTTTTGTTTGTTTTGTTTGTTTTGTTTGTTTTGTTCATTGTTTTGTTTGTTTTGTTCATTTATGTAAGATGCAAAATGAAATGTTATGTGTTTCAGGTCCAAACAACCTTTTTTTAACCCATTTTTGGGAAGTTGAACAAGTGCCAACCACACAATCTCTAACCATCACTTCATTTTATTAAAGATCATCCCATCATTAAAACAAATCAACCTTGTCTCGTGTTATATATATACCCACAACATACAAATCATATGTAAGATGCAAAATGAAATGTTATGTGTTTCAGGGTGTCCCAAACCCTCAAGCAAAACACTCACTCTAACCTAAGGTTGTGGGCGAAACCTCTTAATGACTGTTGAAACTCTGTTGAAACTCTAATGAACAATTAATGTGTAACCTGTCGAAACTATGATGATTGGCGAAAACCCCAAATGCGAAACTCTGCCAAAACTCTAATAAACAATTAATGTGTAACCTGCCGAAACTCTGTCGATTGATTTCTGGAGGAGTTTCTCCCGCAACCTTACTCTAACCATCACAAATAAATCACATCAGATCATATCTGCACAATAACAAATTATATGTAAGATGTGAAATTGTTACAAAGCAAGTGTGCAATATTATTCACTAGGGAGTGGCTGTATATATATTATAATGAAAGATAATTTAGAATGTATAATCTATAAATATACATGTTATCATTTTTGACTCAGGTATAATCTCATAATACATTAACAAACATATTAATAACAAGTTTATCCAAGATAAAATTCTTGTTTTTTTTATTATTATAAGCATTTTTATGTTTATAGATGGATGATAAAATACAAAATGAGATAAAAATAAAATGTTAAACAATGTATGTAAATGCTTGAATATAAAAATTCTACAATAGAAATGATGGTAACTTTGATCACAAAGAAGATTTAATTTAAAGCATATGATTAGAGATGTTCCAATGCGCACTGCATTGTGCGCACATAATTTTTGAAATCATGCTCATGTAATTTTTTTTGTACATAGTAATAAATGTAACACAAAAAAAATTAAATTTTTTTTAGAAAATTTTGGTCACAATTACTACATTATAAACAACATACTGGCTTGTTTGACAATTCTTTAGCATGGTCAACTATAGATGAAGCAGATTTGGTAACATGGTGTAAAGGGAATTTTTTATTAGTTGCCCCTGAACTAACTAATCTTGCTGTACAAATTCTTTCAATCCTACATCTTCAGCAGCACCCAAAAGAAATTGGCCTGCATTCTCATATATACATGATAAAAAAAGAAATAGACTAACATCTGGTATGGTTTTCAAATTAGTGTTTATTTATTTTAATTATAATTACAAAAATCAAAAAAATCAAAAGATAATGTCAATGGAAACACTATGATACTGGTAATGATAATGAGGAACAGGAAGATGATGTTAGTGAAGTGAAAATGATGATAGTGATGTATATACATCTGAATCAGTGACTAATATTAGTAATTAAATCTGTTGTTTTTTTTAATAATAATAAATTTTTTTTTAAAAAATAAAAAAGATCGGCAGATGCAGTGCGCATCATGCGCATGAAGTTTGAAATTTTCCCATCCCTAAATGTCCACCATGCTCACTGAAATCACTTGTCAGAATACTCAAATTAATATTGGTACGTATGATGTTATAGATAAAATTTATTATAAATTATACTACAATTCAAATAATTTTGAATATAAAAAAATCAATGAATATATTTCATTAAATACATATTAAATTATTTTAAGCCGTCGTTTCAGCTAAAGTATATGAAAGTAGAAAAATATTGATTAGTATTGTATGAACGAAGTAGAAAATTGGTCAATACCCAGGCAAGTTTATGTGTGTGTGTTTGTATTTATAAAAAAAAAAAACAATAAAAAGATATTTTAAAAATTATTTTTATAAAAAAAAACTTTTTATAATTTGGCCTTCCTACCCGAGTCAATAAAACCAAGTTCCAATAGTTTTTTAAAAGCTGCAGCAAATTGAGTAAAGAATTCTCCTTCATTATTTGCAAATTCTTCAACATATCCTCTAAATCTATCGTCAAGTAATGCCATATCAGATGGTAACATCATGAGCCCCCCTGCTTCGTACTGAAGAGCTCCACTAGACTCAACTGTCGTTTCTTGCCAACCCGGTTTTAATAAATGTCTAAAACTTTTTTTTTTGAAGGAAAAGTAAATATAAATAAATACATATACATATACTTTAAAAAACAATATTTTATTAAATCTAAAGTGATAACTTACAACATATTTGTAAAAGTCGTTGGAGAATGTGTCCACCTACCCTTATAACCCGATGTTTCTGGATGACAATGACCAAGTGAATGTGCGCCTAACAAAGCGACGATTTCACTAATGAACAAAAAATAGTAGATTCATTAACCACATGAATTACATGATCATACCACAATGATCGTCATAATTATTTACCGGTTATTGAAACCCATTCTAGAGAAAACAGATTCTATATGATCTGCACCTTTGTCAGCATCAGGTAAACGACCAGGGTCTGGGACTAACGACTCTTGAGTTTGTATATCTATATCTTTGCGGCCAGGAGTCCATAGTACCTCTGGTCCCTTCATTGCTTTTATAGCAACAACTCCTGCTAGAGTCCAAATATCTGCGTCTATTATCATTATAGTTAAAAAAAAAAAACTAGAATTATTATTATTATTTTAAACAATTTTTTTTTGATTTTCAAAATTAAAAATGAATATAATTACAAGATACTTCAGGAAATTGTTGTTTGATTGATTCTAGTTTCTCTCTTGCTAACTCTAAACCGTTATTAGCAGGGTCATTAGCTTCTTTAGGACATCGCATAGTGGCACCATTAGAACCACCAGTCTTAGTTATTTTATCAAAAGTTCCAGAGGCATGCCATGCTAAACGTACAAATAGAGGGGCGAGAGTATCCTTATCATTGCCGCCCTTCACTGGAATAAGTTTCTTGATTGCTTCACGAACTTCATTATAATCAACTTGAGACATTTTTTATTTATTTATTTATTTATTAATTGATTGAATTTTTTTTCGTTAAAGGGAGAAAATTTTGATGATAGATAAATGGATGAAATAGATGATAGATAAATTCTATGTTTAATATATATAAAAAAAAGTTCTTTTAATATACATTTTGGCGTTTATTTATTTTACTTGATTAGGCAATATAATGAAGAATTTATTGATAACCTAATTAAACTAAATGAATCCTTCCTTTATTTTTTAAATGAAAGATAATCAATTACACCATAAAAAAATTCTCTTTATGTATCACAATAGGCAATCCTTTTTTGTTTGATAGTAATTCCCTTTAAGAAAGAAAAAAAATTTTTAAAATTCTTTGTTTGAAATAATTTGAAATTCACATATTTGATTGGTTAATTCTTTTTGGCTGTCAAATTTTTAAAAAATACCGCTTTCCTTAGTGTATATATTTTGAACTACACGACTAAACTTGGTAATGATTTTTATTTAATTAAACTTTATTTATTTTATTAATGGGAAAAAAAAAAATTTTTTTACATAAAATTATTACCAAATGTATGTATAACAATTGTTGTGCGCAATGTTCGAAATTTGACTGCGCCTTATCATAAAACTAATTTAATTTTAGAAATTAACTGCGGTTAATTTCTATACTTGGTTGGCGCGCGCCGATTCCGCCGATTGAATTTCGAGCGAGCATGGTGGACATTTAGGGATGGGAAAATTTCAAACTTCATGCGCATGATGCGCACTGCATCTGCCGATCTTTTTTATTTTTTAAAAAAAAATTTATTATTATTAAAAAAAACAACAGATTTAATTACTAATATTAGTCACTGATTCAGATGTATATACATCACTATCATCATTTTCACTTCACTAACATCATCTTCCTGTTCCTCATTATCATTACCAGTATCATAGTGTTTCCATTGACATTATCTTTTGATTTTTTTGATTTTTGTAATTATAATTAAAATAAATAAACATTAATTTGAAAACCATACCAGATGTTAGTCTATTTCTTTTTTTTATCACATATATATGAGAATGCAAACCAATTTCTTTCAGGTGCTGCTGAAGATGTAGGATTGAAAGAATTTGTACAGCAAGATTAGTCAGCTCAGGGGGCAACTAATGAAAAATTCCCTTTACACCATGTTACCAACCCTGCTTCATTTATAGTTGACCATGCTAAAGAATTGTCAAACAAGCTAGTGTGTTGTTTTATAATGTAGTAATTGTGACCAAAATTTTCTTGAGTCATTTGGATAATATTTCATAATAAAAAAAATTTTTTTAATTTTTTAAACTGTATAAAAAAAATTGAAATCAATTGTGAAAATCCATTCCTTATATAGGACGATCTCTCCTGTTGCCGCAGGACCCCGAACAATGGTACATTTCAATTTTGAATATCATTTCTTAATTAGGATGAATTTTGTGATGATCTTGTAAATTATTTCCAAAAATGGTAATAAAGTGGGCATTTTTCAAATGTATATACCATCTTCTAAGATTGTTTGGGGTCCTGTTGCCTCAATGCCAAATCCAAATTAGTAATGGTGCTCTTTTGTGTGACGGGATTATAACATCACATGACTCAATCATTTTATTGTATTCGTTATGAACTTGTATAAAATAAATTCTATTATAATTTCTCACTAGAAAATCATCTTCAAACCTAGCAATTCCATTTATTTGAGATCAGTCTGAACCGATTCCAAATTCATATAATCCTCAAAAATTCTGGGTTCTCAAGAAAATTTGTTACTTGTATCCAATAAGTAACTCATATTAAATAATTACTGTAAACAAATTTAATTAGTAGCTTGCAAGGAAAAAATCAGTTCTAGAATTAGCAATTTACTTGGGACCGATTTGGAATGGCCCCAATTCCCAATTTCCTTTTGTTGTAACAATATGAATTGGTCTGGCTTGAATTCTTGATCAGTTTTTTTTTTTGATAAAATCATTTACGATTTATTTATTAATCCATGATCCATAAAATTATATCAAAAGAATTTTTTTTACAATGATTTGTAATAATTTTTATAAATTGTAAAAGATCATTGAACCAATAAAATTTGATTTTTGTGTGATTAAAGGGTGATCATCATAAAATAAATTGTTTTCCAAAAAAAAAAAAAAAATCACATCTGCCCCAAAAAAAATCTTTGTGAACACCAAGTGCCAATAATAATATTATTAATGTATAATTTTTTTTTAATGCATACTTTTTTTAAAAAAGTACAGCAAGATCCAAATGAGAGGAGCGAGCAAATGTTATTTATTAAAAAGAATGGTGGCTATCACTACTTGTTGTCACTAAAAAGAATGGTGATTATCGCCACTTTTGAAAAAATTTATATTATATTAATATGAAAATAAATACTGGCAAATGAAGATAAATGGTGGCAGTTGCTGGATAAATGTTATTCATTAAAAAGAATAGCAGTTATCGACACTTGCCGTCACTCTAGTATCAAAGTATTTTAAAAAAATTTTATTATTATTATATAATCATTTATTTTAATACATAATTATTATTTATCATCTTATATATATATATACAGTATAATAATTCATAGGATTATTCTCATGAACCAATGAGAATTTTTACAAAATGCTGATGATGCAAAAGCAACCAAATTTAAAATCATAATCAATGAAGGAAATTCAAATCCAACCAATGGGTTAATAAATGAAAAAACAGAAGCACATTACAAGGTCATTCATTCCATCTGTATTTACAATTAATAAAATGTCTGAAGAAAAAGATTTGGATTCTTTATTAAATGCACAGTGTGTGTTAAGAAAAAAACGACGGTGACAAAAAATTACACAACATAATCAAATAAATTTAGGTTCGTTTGAAAGTTAAAAAAATAGACATGAAATGCTATTACTATTGCCAATTTTCTGTAAAGCTAATTCAAATCTTTTTGTCTCTGAAATTTTAACATGGAATTTTTTAATAATAGATCTGTCACAAAAATGTACATAATAATCATACAAATAATTATACCAGTTTGTAGCAAAGTTCCAGGGATTATGTATATAAGCCTTCATACTTTCAGATGTTATAGAATTTTGTTAATTGGAAATAAAAGAATTTGATCATTTTGAAAAAATCAATTCAATGTGTAAATTCTTACATGTTATAATCTTCCCATTCTCTGATATAATTTTTATTACAAATTTTGGCTACTTTACCATTAAAAACAATACTTTACAAAATACCATTTTTTTTCTGTATATGGTGGTAGGAAAGCTATCAATGATGTAAAAATTGGAAAATTCGGAATTGGTTTTAGGTCTTGCTTTAATTTATTGATGTGTGCCCAGTTTTGTGACTGGTGAAAATTTTCGTGTTTGGACCCACAAGAAAAGTATATTCCAGGTGGTTATGCTCGAACCTAGACAGGATAGTGAAATTGGTAGATTACATTTTATGATCTATTAAATAAAACATCTATTTGTGATGTTTGCTCTCCTGTGACATGTCACGGCATGTACATTATCCAAAATTTTTTAAAGCTTGAAAAAAAATGCTTAATCACACATACAGTGTGTTTCAAAAAAAACCAGAAAATTATTGTTGCTGGAAAATTTTTGTAACTTTTGCTAAAAAAAAACAATCTAACTTGTTTCAAATAAAATTTAAACAAAGATTTGCTTTTTAAAGTTATTTTAAATCATTTTCTAACCGAATCTGATG